AGTTTATTTTGAGACAGCCAAGTATGTTAATAAGAGTAATTTGAAAATGAAAAATAGAATTCAGGACACATTAGGATGGGAAGTTTATTTTGAAACAACCAAATATGTTAAAAGGAGTCATTTGAAAAAAAAGAAGAAAATAATTCAGCACACATTAGGATATGAAGTATATTTTGAAACAACCAAATATGTTAAAAGGAGTCATTTGAAAAAAAAGAAGAAAATAATTCAGGACACATTAGGATGTGAAGTTTATTTTGAAACAACCAAATATGTTAATAGGAGTCATTTGAAAAAAAAAAAGATTCCAGGACACATTAGGATATGAGGTTTATTTTGAAACAACCAAGTATGTTAAAAGGAGTCATTTGAAAAAAAATACAGAATTCAGGATACATTAGGATGTGAGGTTTATTTTGAGACAGCCAAGTATGTTAATAGGAGTCATTTAAAAATGAAAAATAGATTTCAGGACACATTAGGATGGGAAGTTTATTTTGAGACAGCCAAGTATGTTAAAAAGAGTCATTTGAAAAAGAAGGGTTGAATTCAATGCACATTTGGATATGAAGTATATTTTGAAACAACCAAATATGTTAAAAGGAGTCATTTGAAAAAAAAGAAGAAAATAATTCAGGACACATTAGGATGTGAAGTTTATTTTGAAACAACCAAATATGTTAAAAGGAGTCATTTGAAAAAAAAGAAGAAAATAATTCAGGACACATTAGGATGTGAAGTTTATTTTGAAACAGCCAAGTATGTTAAAAGGAGTCATTTGAAAATAAAAATATATACAGAATTCAGGATACATTAGGATGTGAAGTTTATTTTGAGACAGCCAAGTATGTTAAAAAAAAAGAGTCATTTGAAAAAGAAGGATTGAATTCAATGCACATTTGGCTATCCAGTTTATTTTGAGACCATCAAGTATGTTAATACGATTCATCAATTATTATTTCTATATATTGGGCCTTTGGTACATACTTTCCAAGTATATTGAAAAAAAACATATTTTTCTTTCTCATGGGAACGTTTTTCATTCAAAATATTTTTTACTAGCAATAAAGAAAATTGTAAACGTATTACTTGCATCAGTAACATACTGTTTTATTGATGAAAAGTATGAGATATTTTAAGCCTGTCTCAAGAGAGCGCTTGTTACTACGATATTTAAGTGACGCCATTACCATCTACATGCTAAGTATGTCCATATGGTAGTAAATATGTCATTGTTAACAAAAGTAACATTTTATTAGGTTTTGTTCGCGTTTAATTTCCTGTTGATGGACAGGGTAATCTTTCCACATCATCAATCACATCCACACTTTCGTGAAGTTATAATTGTTTATTTCAGAAACTTCATTGTTTATGTCACATTTTATTTTTGCACCCTGGTGGCTTATAGCTAATATTTTTGGGGCTTGATCTTTGAGGTGGCTTTGCGCTTAAACAAAACTAAACATTTTATTTCTGAAGACGTAACAAACCCGACACCGGATCAAAAATCAAACAAATAAATTTGAAACTAAAAATTTAATCATGCGTATCAAAGTTTTTCAGTCGCCACATCTGCGTAAACTACTTCTTAGCAAACGAATAAAATAACCGTGTTCTTATGCCTTCATTGAAGCCCGTTGCAATGTCAGTTGTCAACAGGTTTCAATGTGCTCTTGTATGTAGTTGTAACTTTAATTACAAGCACAAAAATAAAGGAACTACTATACGTACCTTTGAATATATATAATTTTCTGAATAAATTAGTCTGTTACAGTTTGATCCTTCTTGATGAATAAAACAATAATACCAATCAACAGTATTTAATTAATGATTAAAATGTAATTGTTTGAATTTACTCTCGTCAAAACTTAATTAGAAAATATCTGTAGAATCTACAGGCAATGTGCTCGATTTATATGTTCATTTACAAAAATGTACAAACTAAAAAATAAACACGATAACCTGAGTACTAGATAAATATTATACATATATATTTATCTCTGAATGTTGTTACGTATTATAATTTCAAATAGTTCGAAGCCGAGTTAACTGATAATTTAAATTTAGTAGTTAAATTGTGCTTTGGATTTAGTAGTTAAATTAAAGCCGATATATATATAGTCAGTTTATGATATTTGCCAACAAGACTGATACACACCATTTTCGTTTTTAAC